ACTTATTTTTTGAAACAATTACTCTGACCTTATGTTAATTCCATGTGAAATATAGGAAAGAAAATCCATTTATTATCTACATAAAGAACTTCCATTCAAACCACAAAAATTCCATTTGAAAAGATGCTGTCAGTATATTTCATTATAATAATATTTTTTTAAAAAAGACTACTCAAGAATCATTTCATATTAAAGTGCTTTTTATTACTATTAGGATTCTGCTGTCTCAGATTTGACTTTCTGTTCACATTTCCCAAGTTTGTTCAAACACACTGTTCTTGGTCTTGATACATTTAAAATATCCGCTGAGACTCCAGATGAAAAAGAGAAAATGTTATGGGACACATTGGTCTTTTTTGCTGTTTTGAAGATACCCATGAAATTGGTCACAGGCGGTATTAAAGTCAGAGAATCTTTTGGTTGAATTTTAGGTCTTGCTTTTATTCGATGCTCTTTCCCTAAAAATTAGAGGGTCATAAGTAAATGCCTCTTAAGGATCCTATGTATAGTCTGATTAGTTCTTATTTTCTTTAACCAAAACATAAGAATAGGTCATAACAGACTTCCAGATTTTACAAAATGTGATTTGCCAGCTTGTACTGTACCAGTTGGGCCCTGGTAAAAGCAAATGCCAGCTACTTTAAAACATCATAGTTTAGTACCAAAAGAAAGTGTTAAAGCATTAGCTTTATCAAAGTGACACACAGACAAAATAAAATTAATTCTATCAGAAATTTTGTACATTATTCTTTTACTAATATTTTCAGAAACCTTGTTTACAAACTGTTATTAAAGTATAGAACAAGAGTGTCTAACTTGTGTAAGTTATTCTCAAATTGAGAAAGCTATTGGAGAAAACGTATTCAGAAAGATAGCCTTCACACATACAAATTTCCAGCAGATATTCCCTGAATAAATGAAGTTCCTTTTTCTCTTTTTTTACATTTTTTATTTTATGTGTATGTTTGTATGTCTGTATGAATGTGTGCCATTTATATGTGGGTGTCTGCAGAGGCCAGAGGAGGACACTGAATTCCTAGAGCTGGAGTTACAGACAGTGGTGATCAAAGAACTAAACTCAGGTCTTCTGTAAGAGCAGCAAGTGCTGTTAACCATTGAGTCATCTCACTAGTTCCCCTATTCTGTTTTTACTTTCCCTTCCTGTTCTCTTCAGTTTCTGACTTTCAGATGGTTGTATCCTAGATTTTGACTTTAGGACAATGTAACAACTAAAACTTTTACTTTGGCCCTTTTATAAGCTTAACAGATGAATAAACATATGAAAATAGTATTTATTCATATGTATTCTGCATTAAATGTCTAATAGGTTGGGTGCTGAAGAGTTAGCTAAATGGTTAAGAGCAGGTACTGCTCTTGCAGAGGACCTGAGTTCATTCCCAACACTCACGTGGAGCAGTTCAGAACCACCTGTATTTCAGCTCCAGGGGCATCTGATGCATCTGGCTTTCTCGGGCACCTGCACTCACATGCAAGCAAATACCCACACACATGCACATAATTTAAAATTATTTAAAAATAAATCTTAAATGTTTACTAGAAAGGAATGAATAGTATTGCAACATCTAGACTCTGATTTATTCAGACAGGCCACCCAACTGTCAACTACCAACTGAGTCAAAACTGTAAACTATCACTAGAAAAAAAAAAAAATGTGATCTCTGATGTAAGACTTTTGAAATAAATTGTACTTGAAACAGAACAATGGCAAGATCATTATTTAAGTCATACTTACATGTATAAATAATGACTTATCTCTGTGCTTAACTTGAAAAAAGCAAAGTTTTTTTTAAAAAATTATTACTTATTTGTTTATTGTGTGGGTGGATATGGGTAGATAGGTATAATTGTGTCACAGCATATATGTATAGATCAAAGGACAACTTGCAAATCTTGTTTCTCTCCTTCTACCATGTGGGTGCTAGGGATCAAGCTCAGGTCATCAGAGTTGGTGGCAAGTGCCTTTGCCCACTGAGCCATCTTGTAGACAGATCTTTGACAATCGATGTTAGTAGGGAAGATTTTAAATGATTAACAGGCTTATAAAGAGAATGTATCTTAGGTATATAGAATTACAAAACATATGTTTACAGGTAAGTAAACTTTTTGGAGCATTGTCTCCGCATTTTGGATTTATAGAAATGGGATAGAATCAGTGTCAGGACTGAAAGGAATTAAAGAAAACTTAACTACCTTTTTTAAAGATGGGATTTACAGATGGTCCTCCATTCTTCTCCAGGCTGAAAGGGGGGGGGGGAATCAAATAATAAAGTAAATGACAAACTACATCTAGAAAAACATGAAGAAATATATAGATTCCAGGTACCATGTCGGGTGCTTAATAGCCTGCTAGACCTGTATGAAGCTATGTGTGCTACTGTAAAGTCTCTTACTCATTTTGCATTTTAAACATAAATATATCTAAAATGGAACATTAATTCTTCTTGAAGTGAAAAGAAGATGAGACATGACCTAGGTTTTAAAGAAAACAGAATTGAATAAGGAACATATTCTCCATTTCCCACAGAGTTGTGGGGCTGACTACAAAATACTAGTTACTTGTACTAAATTAAATGTGCACTAAATTAAATTTCTTTGGTAGTCTTATCCTATAAATTAGAGGACCACAATTAAATGCCTCTTTAACACTGTCAATTATTGCAATTAAAATTTAGATTTTCTGTTTTATATAAAATTAGAGTTTTAGACTTTCAGTTTTTCAAAGGATTCTAAAGATATACTCGTCTTTCTCCATGCTTAAAGTTGATTTATGTAACCATACTGATATACTATTGAGTCTTATCTCTTCTTGTATCATTAAAAAAAATAGTGTATCTTGAGTAGGTCTCCTGTATATGAATTGTCATGCTACATGAAGAGATTCATAATCCATCTTTATAGAAGCAGAGGAAATTGTTTACAGTAAGGAGATTTTCTACCGTTAGACTTAAGTTATGAGATTACAACATTAAGGCAAAATCCTCTGAGCAAAATGCTTGACAGACACTATAATTTCAGCTACTGGGTCTGATTTAACCTTTATTTCCATCCTAGAAATTTGGTCTAGCTTTGTGTCAAAAGTTCAGAAGACCCATTTGCAGTAGAGATCACGTTGGCTTTCCTGTTTGGTTCAGAGCTCTTCAAATTTACCTTCTCAAGGTTAATCAAAAATGGGCTTGTGGGGACTAGCGAGACTTGTTGGGACTAAGACCACTGGCTACTCTTCTAGAGGACTTGGGTTCAGTTCTCAGCACCCACATGGCCACAAAGAACTATCCATAACTCCAGTTCCAGGGGCGCCAACGCCTTCTTTGATTCTTTAATTGGGACAAAGAATGCCTAATTTTGGAAGAAGATTTTTCTGATTGGAAGATCAAATTGACAATGTCACTACCTTGCTTGGGGTGGAGACTAGGTTGACGAATAATATTTGGGCTTCAGTATCTACTATCATAGGGGGATCCCTGTCCCTTGAAACTGAGAGACACCAACTTTTCTCCAAGATGAAGCTGCAGAGTATTGAGGTACTAGCCAGATGGCCTTCCAAAAGAGATGAGTAGTGACAAAGGGCAATGGAACCCTGGGAAACAGACAAGGTGAAACTGACTGTATTTAGATAGGACCCCTGATGGAAGAGAAAAGTAGACAACCACCAAATCAAAGCTAAGAGCAAACATGCCCAGTTTCCCAGAAAGAGGAGTTTCCCAGGTGTGGGTACTGATGCTTCCCTTATAGACCCACCATGCCATGGAGAATATGGAGTTTATAAGTTCTGGCTGAAGGACAGTGACCACCTGCTACATAGTCATGGGCCACCTATTCCCTCCTTTCAGGCTGACTTTAAAGGCATCATTCATTCATTCATTCATTCACATAGGCACTGGTGATATCTGGACCCATCTACTTAGTTTGTCTTTTAGGGAATCTTAACCATGCTCAAAACAAACATACTTCATGGCCCCTGTACACAAGAAGGTGGTTTAGGGGATATTCTTTGTAACTACAGTGCTCTGCCTCCCTTCTCATTTCCATGCTATGAACATTCATTCACAGACTCTCATTCTTCCAAACTTGTCTACCCAGTGATTACTCTCTGTCTGTTGGGAACTTTATCCCCACAGAAGATGTCTGGTTAGAGGTTCTGTTATCCCTACATAGCTTCTGTTTTTGTACCTCTGTCATCTGCATTCGATGCATTTCTGTCTTCTTTGTGATATGGTAGGGCTGGTTCACCACTTCCTAGCACTGGCATCCAAGAGCAAGACCATTCCTAGGATATGGCTTGAGTGGTAGTATGCTCCTCATGCACTTTGCCATCACTGAGGGCTTTGTGAAGGCCACCACGGTGGCCAGATAAGCTAGTTCTTTTGGTTGTTGTTTCTTTTTGAGATAGGGTCTCTCTGTAGTCCCAGATGGCCTGGAACTCACTATGTAGACCAGGCTGGCCTTGATCTCACAGAGATCAGCCTACCTCTGCCTCCAAAGTGCTAGGATTAAAGGCATGTGCCATGGCTTTGGGGTACGTCACCAGGAAACTACTCTATATGCTGCCTGGATTCCTGAGCACTAGAAAATCTGTTCTACTCTCAACAGCTTTTGTCCATTTCTAAGTCTCCAACTTTCAATAATTCTTACAGCTTCTAAGATGGCTCTACTGATGACTCCTTTCTTTGAATATCCTGATCTGAAGGATGGAGGAGGAACTTACCAAGTGTTTGGGGGAACTGGGGATTGGGGGTGAGAGGAGGAGGAGCATTGCATGTTGTGTATGTGACCAGAGGACAATTTTGGGTGTCCTTTCTCAGGTAGTGACCACCCTTTTTTGACAGTAAGGGTCCCTTACTGTCCTGGAACTCACCAAGTAGGCTAGTCTGGCTGGCCAGGATGCCCCAGGGATCAACTTGTCTCTTCCTTCCTGCTTGGATTATAAGCACATGCCACCAGACCTAGCTCCAAGTGTTTTTACCTATTCATCCATCCATCCTTCCATCCATTCATCCATCCATCCATTTATCTATCATCTATTTATGTTGCTGAAATAAGAGGAAGAGTCTGTGGGCTAGAGAGATGGCTCAATGATTAACACTGGCTGCTCTAGCAGAGGACCCAGGATCGATTCCCAACACCCACATGGCAGCTAACAACTATCTGTAACTCCAGTTCCAGGGGACTGACATCCTCTTCTGACTTCTGCGGTCATGCCCGGCATAGGTACACTTACATACATGAAGGTGATGTACTCATACACATAATAAAATAATTTAAAAAATAGTAAAAGAAGACAAGTCTGGTTTGTCTGTTTCTAGAAGAAGCCTCTTGGAGAATTCAGTACCAGTGAGGTTCAGCTCACTTTCCCAGCCAGTAGGCTATAGTTTACATTTCCATTTCCCAGCTGGGAGGCAGTTGTCTCCTACCTCAGCAGTCATGCCCCTTCAGCACTGTGACTATGGTGACTGCTGATCCTTCACTGATAATGTTTTGGAGTACAAATTGAGGTTTTACTACCCTTCTCCAACTTCTTCAGGGAAAAAACAAAATGTGGACTGAGATTTTTCAGATTTCTGGAGTTTTTCTAAAAGAAGATATTCCTCCCCGTCTCTATCCTTTTTAACATGGTTTATAATAAGCTTTCTCTTTTTGTAGCATAGTTTTTTTAAACAATTAAAGCCTAATTCTATCTTTTTTGGGCATTGATCTACGTACATGCAGGAAGAATAAAGGTACTAACTTTTACATAGCCCAGATAATCATGGAAGTGTGTCAAGGTTTCAAATACCTTGAATTTTTTTTCTTGACAGAGTGATGCACTTAAAGTGAGGGAAGATATTTAATACTGAGCTTTAAATAGAAACCTGCTGTCATTGCTGCATATCTTGATGAAGCAACTTGGATAAAATACAGAAGACCCTTTGCACCCAAAAGATAAAAACAGACTTTGAGAATGGACATTCATTTGAAGCTAAGTTTTGTCTTACAGAAGATATATACACGTCAAGGATAATTCTACATAATGGACCATCCTTAAACTTCAATAAAATCTTTACTAATAATTCTACTACTTCAGTTTCATAAGGCACAATACCTTAAGGAAGGAAGTCCCACACTTTGTTGCATTTGAAATTCCTTTAAAAATGCAGGGTTAATACTTGCATCTCTGCTGATATTCTTTGTTATGCGTAGGAACTGATGAGGTTTATTCCTGCATTCAGTCAGCAAAATTCGGAAAGCAAAGGAGTTGTAACTTAGGTAACCAAGGCCACAGGAACAATCTACACGAACCTAAATTAAAGAATAAAGAAGCAGCTTGATTTTTAATTTTCTTCCTATATTTTATTATGACAAAATATAGCTGACATGAAAAATATTTGCTATTTTGATCATTTTAAGTACTCACCTGGAACTAAATATATTCTTGCATACTTTTTAAAACATTTAGGATTCAAATATATCAATATTCAGCTTGAACTTTGAAAAATGTATGGGTTGATTGTTTGTGTGCCTATGTGGTAGTGTATGTAGACATTCTCTATTTCAAAATAGGTTTATCACAATTTTTAAGAAGGAACTTCTTAAAATATTCTTATTTTATGTGTATGAGTGTGTCGCCTGCATGTATATAAGTACACCAATGTCATGAAGTGCCCATGGAGGTCAGAAGAGAGTGTTGGATTCACCTGGAACTAGAGTTAGGGATGATTGTTAACTACCTTGTGAGTGCTGGGAATCCAACCCATGTCCTCTGCAAGAGCAGCCAGTGATCTTAACCACTGAGCTATCTCTCCAGCCCCAAGAAGAAACTTTTAACCAATGGATTTTGTATTTAAATTATCTAACGCAGGGCTTTAAATAGCCTCTTTATGAGAACGCTTCTGGAAAATCTGTTGATTCAAGTTCAGTTCCCAGCACCCACATCAGGCATTTCACAACTGCCTGTAACTCCAACTCCAAGGGATCTGACACCTTCTTCTGGCCTCTGCATATACCTGCACACACATGTACATACACACATAATTAAACATGAAATAATTCTTAAGTCTCTGTAAACATTACATTAGATATGTGTGTAAACAAATGACAATCAGTAGATAAAAACATAATAGTTCTTTTTTAAAAGTCAGGGCTATGACTCAAACTCAGAACCTCAGGCATGCTAGGCAAGCACTCATTCTACCACTGAGCCATACCCTCTGCCTCATATTTTTATTACTTTTTTAGAAAGATTTTTTAAAACTTTTACTTGTTTTTATTTTATGTGTATGAGTGTTATGCCCGCATGTATGTAAGTACACCTGTGTCATACAATGTCCATAGAGGTCAGAAGAGGGTGTTGGGTCCCCTGGAACTGAAGTAATGGATTGTTGTTAGCCACAATGTGGGTGCTGGGATTTGAACCCAGGTCTTCTGAAAGAGCAGCCAGGGTTCTTAACCACTAAGCCATTTCTCCACTGCTTCTCCTCAACCTTTTCTCAGCCCAATACTAATCACCAGCCTTATTCTGCCTCTGCATTTTTATCTTTCTGGTCATATCCTCAATAATTAAAATAAGAATGCACACAGAACTATCAATATTATTTGTCATGCAGTACCTGCAGAGGACATAAGAGGGTGCCAGATTCCCTGGAAGTGGAGTTATAAATGGTTGTTAGTGCTATGTGGGTGCTGGAATTCAAACCCAGGTTTTCTGCAAGCACAGCTAGTGCTTTAACCATTGAACCATCTCTCCAGCCCCCTGCCTCATATTTTTAGAGAATACTGTTAAGTGCCTTGATTTCTAGTAGTTGCCTACAATCTTTGTTATTTATAATTGACTTCATTTTAGAACTTTGTTACCCATAATTGACTTCATTTTAGAATTACCTTGAATATTAAAAACTTAAATTTCACCAACTAAATCAGAATTAGTTCTGTAGGGGATTTTAAAGTACAGCCAGAATAAGAACTTTGGAATCTCGGCCAAGACAGTGGGTCTCAACCTTGGCTGTATATGAGAATCACCTGGACAACTTTGACAATTATATTGAATTCCAGCTGTAGAAACTCATTAAGTATTCTGGGGTGCAGGCAGGGCTTTGGAATTTTTCAAAACTGCTGAGGTGAATGCCATAGGAAACCAGGAAAGACTACAAGATAAAAAAAAAAACAGGCTAAAGCTAGCCACTCAGGAAAGCACTGTTTTCCTCTGACAAGAACCGAGAAAGAAACAGAAGGATTAGGCCACCAGACTCTAGAAAAAGTTTCTTTAAAGACAATTCCCTTGGCCTGTAACTCTGAATTAATTAGGCTGATCATGTGGGTAGTTAAAGGATACTCCTGGGTAAGGAGTTTGATAGTTGACAGCATAAAAGTGTCATAAACATAAATCAAGGTTGTGTATGTAGGGTATCAGAGGGTTGATTATTGGCCTTTATGTTAGCATCAGGCTGTTCTATCTACCTATATATCTATTTACCTTGAACTTGTGGCTCTTTTCTGTATGTGGTTTCTTGCTTCAGCTTTCTAGAAATGTGCCTGCCTCAGATATATTGGATTAGGAATTCTGGGGATAGGGCCCAGTAATATATGGCATAACAGGCCCTTACTGTGATTCTGATAGATCCAGAGTTGGAGAAATACTGTATTAAGCCTTAATGGATGAAAGTAAAGAATACCCAAAAGCTAATGACTGCTATTATTAGCACTGACTCAGTCTTCAGGTAAGAAACTAAGAAAGCTTTGAATGAAGAGGATGTACATGGTCTACTGGAAAAAAAAAAAAAGCTTCTCTGATGAGGAAGAGCTTCTCCGATTAGTGAATGAAAGATTCACTTTTATGGATATAAAGGTAAAAACTTAGGGGGCAGTTATTACTGTGTCCACTTACAGAAGAATAATAGTGGTTTCTCCTCCAGGACTTATGACCTATCCAGCCACAGGATTTTGGCCCAGTTTAACAGTACCAGGCATGGGTTCCATTTTGTGGTGTGGGCTTTAAATCCAATCACATGGCAAGCAGTCAATGTGCAGAGAATAAGAGACTGTAGAATGCTCAGCTCAAAATGGAACATCTGTATCACACTTCCTTCCTAAGATATCATCTCAGAAGAGGAGGCAGAAAGATTGTAAGAAAGCAGGGGGGTAGATGTCTGCAATGAACCAGAATTTGTCTGACATGACAGCACAGTAGCTGGAACCACATGCATAATATCAAGCCAGCTAAAATCCCAGCATGGATAGGGAAGGGCTCATGAAATCCCACCCCATCTAAGGAGCTATTAGAAATTGATGAACAAGGAGAGTCAGTTTTCTCCAGGGATTCGGCCCCAAAAGGCTACCCATGTCCTAGTAGACATTCCTCCACCCAAGCATATCCAAACATACAAAATGGACTCCATGGGTATTAAAAAACAAAACAATTGGGCTGGAGAGAAAGTGCAGCAGTTAAGAACACTGACTGTTCTTGCAGAAGACCTAGGTTCGAATCCCAGCACCCACATGGCAGCAAACAACTGTCCATAACTCCAGTTCCAGCAGATCCAACAATCTCTTCTGTCCTCCACAGGCATTACACGATATGGGTGCACTTACCTACATGCAGGCAATACACACATACACATAATATGAAAATAAAAATATTTAAAAAATAAAACAAAACAAAACAAAAAACCTAACACCTGAAGTTGGGAGGAGAAAGTAAAGGAGAGGATGGAAAAGGAATTGGAGGAGAAAAGTATGGGGATGGATTTGATCAAAACATGAAAACATGTATATATGAATATTGAATAAAAATCTTAAAATGTTTTTATGTGTATGAGTGTTTTGCCTGCATGTATATAAGTGCACCCGTGTTGTGCAGTGCCCGCAGAAGCCAGAAGAGGGCCTCAGATCCCCTGGAACTGGAGTTACAGATGGTTGTTAGCTACCATTTTGGTGCTGGGATCTGAACCTGGGTCCTCTGCAAGAGCAGCCAATTCTCTTAACTTCTGAGCCATCTCTCCAGGCCCTGAATAATATTTTTAAAGAGAATATACACCTTGCAGGAGCAAGGTAGGAAGACCTGAAGAGAACTGCCTGCTACAGACTTTGACTTCTTGTAGTTCTTATTGAAGAACAAGGTGAGAATAGTGATTTGGGCCTTTGAGCACAAGAAACATATTTCAAATTTTCAGGTGTTACACAGGCATACTGGGATGGGAAATATTGCTGGACAGGAACTTGTATATCTGCACTGTGAGGAGTGTAAGGGTAGGCACATGTGGAAAGTTCTGCTTTGCCCATATAGGTCTAGTGCTGCTTGTGAAGGTAATACATTTTCACCTAATGGGTAGTAAGTAGGGTACATCCAAAAACTAAGATTTGTGCTTAGCTGGTTGAAGAAAGCCAACCACATGCTACTGCTCTTAGTTGATCTTTAACCTTGCAGTCAGTGATATGCTGCCTGGGAATGAATTTTAATTAATAACCAAGGCTGGTGCTTGAAATTCTGCGCCTTCCCACCCCACTTCCTGACTCCCTGCCCACCCCAACACTATGGCCAGCATTGGCCTCTTTCACACCCCCTCATCTCTGTGCTCAGGATACGAGAAAAATTCATTCATGCTCAGTTTCATTTATTCCAAATTGTAGAAATGACAGAGTAACCAGGGGTTTTGTTTTGAGGGGAGGTTATTTGGAAGTGCTGGGGATTGAATCCAGGACCTTTGTTTTGAAACAGTATCTTGCTAAATTGCCCAGATTGGTGTCAAACTTTTGATCCCCCTGCCTCACCCTGGCTAAGTAACTGATTCTTTTGAACATCTTATATTTTAGTTATAAATTTGTGCATCATTGGTATATTTATTGATAGCTGAATTGTTTAAAGTTACATATAGTATCAGATTTCATCATAGCACAAATATATAATGACATCTATGTCATTATACTTTGTTCTTAAAAATATGGATCCCTTCATAAATTTGCATGCCATCCTTGCACAGGGGCCATACTACATCTCTGCAAGGCTCCAATTTTAGTCTAAGTGCTGCTGAATGGAACCTTTTATTTTTATTTTTATTCTTATCTTTGAGACAGGGTCTTTCTATGTGGCCTTGACTGGTCTAGCACTCACTTTTTAACCCAGACTGGCTTTGAACCAGGGGGGCTCCTCCTGTCTCAAACTCCCATGTTCTGATATTACTGGCATACACTAGGACATGAGATTTTTGTGATTAAATGGTGGTTCTAGAATAAAAATTACTATTATTTTACAGAGTTTTGTTTTTGTATTTTAATTCAGAAACAAATTTGGGCAGGTATTAGTTTTTAAATCTTTGTTTTATACTGCTTTTATGGTTATTAAGTCTTGGAGTTAAAACAAATATGTACTTTTTGTGGAAATCAGAATTGTGGATGTCAGATATGACTAATTCTAGGAAGTTCATCTATTTTTGAGATATTATCATATTACCATATATAATATTGAGTTATTACTATGTATATAATGCAGTTAACCTGAAAATTATTGCATTGTGTGAGAGAGGCAAATTTTATTATTTCTAGCATAATAAATGTTATTATTTTCATTTACCTCTTCTCTTCTTGAGTACAAGTGGTAGCAGAGCCGTTGTATTGTCCCTAATGTGAGAAAAGCTTCTAGAATACCAGCTCTGGTATGAGCTAGGCTGGCTATGAGATTACCTAGAAATCACAGAGAAGAGTTCTCATGTCAGTCAAAACCAATAAACTATACTGTGCTTTTTGTTCACGTGCACATAGATTTTAAAAGGTTCAAGTTGTAAGACCTCTCTATTAAATGAAGCATCAAGAAAAAAAAAGACATGTCTGTGTGTTCTGGCTGTATGTATGTAAGTGTACCTATGTCGTGCAATGCCTGCGGAAGCCAGAAGAAAGTGCTGAATCCCCTGGAACTAGAATTACAGTTGTTAGCCACCATGTGGGTACTGGGAACTAAACCTGGGTCCTCTGCAAGAGCAGAAAGTGCTCTTAACTGCTGAGCCATCTCTCTAGTCCCTTGTTAGGGTTTTTTAAATGATAGTGAACATAGTCATTTAATTATCTTAAAGAAAGAAAAATTTTCTTTTTTGTAATTCAAATGGCTTCAAGCTGGAGGATTAATGATAGGTTTTAAATCAAGTAGTGTATCACTTATTGAAATTTAAAATTACTTTAGTTCTTATTATAAAAAGAAATGTTTAGAGACTAGAAATAAAGTGACCTGGTATTATAAATAAATAGATAAATAATAAATAACTACCAACTTACCAGCTGCTTACCAATAAGCAGCTACCAACTTAATACTATTTATTTTTGGTGTTTTGTTTTAACATTAAATGTATTTCTACAGACCAGCTCTGTATTTGGAGATCGGAACTCAGTTTTGTTCTCCCTGTATTTTTTCTGGCATCCAGTATAACAAGGAATTCTTTGTACTTACTGCCTCAGAATGAGAGGGCTGAGTTATAAAGTAAAAGCTGTGTGAAGGTAACTTCTCTGTAAAGTTAAAGAAGTCTTTAAAGATGAGAAGTAAGGGCTGGAGAGATGTCTCAGTGGTTAAGAGCACTGGCTGCTCTTGTGGAGGACCTGTGTTCAATTACCAGCACCCACATGGTGGCTAACAACCATCTGTAATTCCAGTTCCAGGGGATCCCATGTCCTCTTCTGACCTTCTTGGGCATTGCACAACACAGGTGCACTTACACACATGCAGGCAATACACTCAAAGGCATAAAAATAAAATAAAAATAATATATTTTTTAAAAGATGAGAAGTGAGAAGCAGATAGAGAAGGTAGAGAAGCTCAAGTGGAGGAGAACTTGAAGAGTAGGAGCAGGAATAAATGAACGGATAGATTGTTAGGTAGCTAATTGCTATACCATAGAAATGTATTTTGGGAGTATATTTGCTTAGAAAGAAGACATAAGAGTCTCACAAATTAAAACTCTTATGGAGACTAGCTAGGAAAAATCATGGATGAGCACACAGTGAGGGACAATTGGGGACACAAACCTGACTCAATAGGCCTTAACATATATGACAGAATGTATGAAATCTGTTGGGAGGGCTATAGGAGAAGGTGCAGATAGGGGAAGGAGTCTAAATTTAATTAAGCTGTATGAAATATATAAAAATCCAATAAATTCAATATATTGTTAAAAATGTCAAATTTACTTTCATCAGATATATTCCATATATGTGAAATATATATTTGATTTCATATATTCTCTTATTAGAGAATATCTAAGGGGCACCTAGAAAAATGGACAGTTGGCAACAGAAGCCCTAGTCTCTTCTAAACTTCTGTGCCTTTGGGACTTTTTTGGTAATCATATGAACTTGGACACCAGGTGATCAATTACTACACTATACCTGAGGCCAGACATACTGGTTTGCCTGAGGCACCCTGGATGTGCATATGACCCAAGATGCAGAGTCCTCTGGTGGTAGAGTGCAGAGAACATGCAGTAATTTTTGAGATTCTACTCAGATGGAGGAAATGAATTTAATGTTTGAAAACAAGTATAATACAACATCTCTTATAGTAAAGAGACTGTGAAGCAAAACTTAAAACCACTACAGTTATTTTACTGCTATGATATTGAATAAATAATATTTTGAAGAATATATACTTAATTTCTTTTCAAGGTTTTTTCCTAGCTAATTTCCATAAGAAAGCTTTCATTTGTATGACTTATATTCTTCATAAGCAAATATACTTCATAAAAATACACTTCTATAGCATAGTAATTAACTAACTTAATAATGTATTTCTTAGTTCATTTATTTCACAAGTAGTCATTGACTATCATTCTGAAATTGTTTTATGTTGTTTTGAGTGGTAGTTCAGTTAAATATCATTTATCACCTATTGTATACTACCAGATTGGATGTTTGGAGTAGATATTGTTACACAATTATGTCAAGAAAGCTATTGGACCATTTTTCTTTGATATGTTATATATTAACATAATGAACTCCTAAGTAATGGAATGTACACAACCTGTATAAAGAAATACAGAGGCATATCAGTATAAATCTACCACTACTACTATAAATCATTTAAAATTTTTTCTTGGTAGTTCATAATTGAACTTTTATTTTATATTCTAGAAAAATAGAGCCTCGAAATAATAATTAGGAAAGCCAAAAGGCTTTGTTCAGAGGTACTGTATTCCTGCTCAAGGTCGAGAGGATGCCTGTCATTCCATGTAGACTTATTCTGTGTTTTCAGGTAGAGTAACTTGAAACTGCAACAGGGTATTGGCATTATTTATTATTGCTGAGATTCCAACCTAAATGATTTTTATTACTATCTTTGACATTAAGCATGTTTCTTATGTAACTTGTTACAATTGGTTTTAGCTACGTCTTACCTGTCAAGACAAGAGTAGGAACGTGAAGTGAATACAGACTGTTAACTAGTATAGTAACACTAGTAACACCTCTTGCAGACAAAGTAATATGGTCCACATCTATAATGACTTTAGCTAGTATGATAATCTAAGACAGAAAAAGCACAGAATCATTGAGCATTTGCTAATAAAATTCTCTTAATTAAGCACTTATGATTTATGGAGTATTGTTAAGGGGCAAAGAGAATATTTGGTGGGATTCAACCCACATTATTCTTCCCACAAGGTTTGCAACTTTTGCATCCTTGGATTGTGATAGAAATACCTGACAGGGTTGTAAGATAGAAAAGCTACAAAGAGCAGGTCAAAAGGAACCTGAATGTTTAGCTGTTGCAGAGTGAGAGAACCAGCATGATCAGCTTAAGGTTTGCAATTAGAAGACCTGTCTGTTTCCTTAAAAATATTAAGTGATTAAAATAGTAATACCTGCCTTTCAACCTCACAAGGTTGTTGTAGGCATCTGATAAGGTATAAAAGGAAAAGTGCCTTGTAACTTGAAAAATTCTATAAAGAAATCTTAATAATGGACTTTCCATTAGGTAAAAGGGCCAATGTACAAAATACTAAGTTTCAAAAATCAAGCTGGGTGTAGTGATGCATGCATTTAATCCCAGCACTCTGGAGTCAGAGACAAGTGGATCTCAGAGTTTGAGGTCAACCTAGTCTACATAATAAGTTCCACGTCAGCCAAGGCTGCATGATGAGACCCTGTCTCAAAAATAATTTGTTCCACAAATGAGTAAACATTTTGGGGATCCCCAATTTATAAGTTTTCACTAAAATGAAAAACTTACCAACTTGAAATGTTAACCTCTAATTTTATACCTGAAATGCTGCCATTGCCCTTTCAGTTTCAACTTTTGATTGAAGGCTCAAAAATAGATAAAGTTATCATTCCACTTTCCAATATTAAATATTGTTGAAAACGGTTATTGAAGGCAAAAAGGGCTAGTGCATAGCCTGCTCTTAAGCGAATGTCCTAGAAATGAGAGGCATATGAATGAATTATTTTTGTTTACTACATTTATCATGTTATTAAGTTTGTAATTATTGCTCATTAAAACATATTTCATTCTTATCAGTTAAAGAGAAATATGACATTGTTGGGGGAAACAGCAGAGAGTTACCCAAAAATGTTACTGAACAAACAAAATGGAAAGAGAACTAAGTTTCAGTGGCAGAAAGAAAACATTTTAAATTTTCAAAGAAAATATCAGACTAGGTCTGGGCATGAAGCATTGCTCTAAAAGGCTTATGTATTGGAGGCTTGGTGCCAGCTGGTTGCACTATTTTAGGAAGCTCTGGCAACTTTAGAACATGGGACCTACTGGGGAAGTGGTTCACGGAGGGAAGGTCATTGAGAGTATCTTATCTCTTCCTCCTTCCTATCTGTGTACCATGAAGTGAACAGCTTCTCCTTTGCTTCAGACTCCCACCACAATGTTCTGCCCAAGTGAAAGGGATTAGAAGACCATGGAGTACACCCTTTAAACAATGAACTGCAATCAGTCATCCCTCCCTTCAATTTCTGACAGGTAATTAATGCAGTTATTCATTATACAAATGGTATTAACCTTCAACTTTTAACATATTTCATTTTCAAGGGTTCAAAGTAGAATTTATAAATCAAAAAATTCCTTATAGACAGATATGGCAGTGGATATCTGTAATCCCAGGAAGGCAGTGGCATTGTGCATTTGAGACCAGTTTCAGCTATATAGATCCCATCTCAAAACTAAAACAAGGGCTAGAGAGGTGAGTTAAGAACACAAAGTTTCTGAGATAAGAAAGAGGGAAGATTCTGAAGGTGATGAACTGTTTTGGCCTGACCTTGTAGAGTGGAGGCAAGAAAACTGATTTAATGAGCCTGATCCAGCGGAAAAAAAAAAAGGAAAGAGGGAAGATCTATTTTTGGCATTTTGAATCATAGTCTCAGGGGTTTCAGTCCACAGTGGTTTGGGCCAGTTCTTCCTTAAGAGCCATGAGTGGGCATTACACTATGGTGGAAGCAAGATGAAAAGAAAAGTGTGATATAGAAGAAAGAAAGTGGAAGGGGCTAGAGTCCCAGTATCACCTTCAATGGCACATCTGTAATAATCTACTTCCTTCAACTAGGCCTCATGACATTTCCATCACTTCCCAATGGTGTTGCTGTCTGGGACCAAGACTTTAACTCATCCAGGGATATTCCAGATCCAAATGGTATCAGGCCCCACAGGGCAGGTAGTTTGAAACAAATATAATACAGTGTAAATTCTTATAATTTAAAAATTTGACCAAAACCAGTTGAATCTTATAGTTCTTATATCCACAGAGAATTAGTGTACAAAGATGTGTCAATTACAAACCAGATATAAGAGGAAGGAAGGAATGAATGAATGAAGGAAGAAGGGAGGGAGAGAGGGAGGGAGGAAGGAAGGGAGGGAGGGATGGGGGAAGGGAGGAAGGGAGAGAGGGAGGGGGGGAGGGAGGGAGGGAATGGGGGAGGGGGGGGAAGGAAGGAAGGAAGGAAGGAAGGAAGGAAGAGAGGGAGGGAGGGAGGGTGCTTGAGAACGGGCTGTGTAGCAGAAGAAAAGGAAGAAGGGTATAAATGAGGAAAAGGGCAATGAAAGGAAAGCACTAGTGAGGAGCAAAGTGTGTTTGTTGGAGGGAGTGGCTCAGAGAGGCACTCGATCTCATCACCTCCCTATTCTTAGCACTTCTCATAGTGTACTACAGAAAATCTCTACATTTTAAAAAAATAACATGACTTTCAACCAAGACCCTCCTGTGTTCCTCTAAAACTTCACAGAACTAGAAGACATCATTGGCTACTTCTGTAATTGCACAACAGACAGCAGCTTCCCGTTCTCTGAGATAGTATTCTTCAGAGTGCTGACGGTGAGATAGCAGGAAACTAAGAACAAGCAGTTAACAGGAATAATTCTATCTTATACTTGAATACTACCTAATAGATGTATAAAGAAGAAGTAATTTTTAAAAATCACCATCAGGCAAAGGTCACCTTGATTGTTACATGAATGCAAGTTAAAATTAGTGAGCAAAACTAGGATGCAAAGCAGAATATTTGCATAGACTTTGTCTTACCCTAAGATACTTGTAAATTGCAAAGGGAAAACCAACAAATTTGTGGTGAAGATATATGGCAGATGCTGCCTGTATTTGTCACTTTTCTGTTGCTGTGGTAGAAACACTGACCAAAGCACTTTATAGAAGGAAGAGTTTATTTGAGCTTACGGTTCCAGGGGAATTATAGTCTGTCATGGCAGGGAGGCATGGTGGCAGGAGGTGGCTGGAACAGGAACAGCAGAAGCTAAGCTCTCACATCATCAGGCAGGCACAGGAAGCAAAAGAGCAGCTGCAGATCCAGCAAGGCTTAAGAACTCTGTAAGCCCACCCCCAGTGACGTGCTTCCTCCAGGACAGCGACACCTTCTAAAACCTCCCAAAACAGCGCCACCATCTGGGGACCAAATGTCCAAATATTTGGAGCCTATGAGGGACATTTTCATTCAAACAATCACACCGCCTTAAGTAACTGAATTTAGCATTGCCAGTAATGAGACCTATCAACATCATGTAGCCTTAGCTGTGAGGCAGTGAGAGGGTGAGTGGACTTCCACATCACTCTATGATATTCTTGCCCAATATATAACTTCAGTTTAATCATGAGAAAATATGAGTTAAATTGAGGGAGCATCTGTAAAACTATTGTCAGTAATGCCAACATCATCAAAGATGTGGGATGACTAAGCTGCACAAATGAGACGTGACAAAATGTCATGGAACATTCTGGATTGGATTCTGGAACAGAAAATAGGTACTGATAAGAAATTGGCAAAATTATAAGTCTGCAAATTACTTCATAGTATCGTATCAGTGATAAGGGTCTGGTTAGCACTTGGAGAACTGGATGGAATGTATAGCATGGAATGTACAGCACAATATCTTGAATTTTACAAAGCTTTTTGGAACTCTAAAATTATTTTCAAAAAAATTTGTGTGGTTCTAAGTGATTAAACCTAGGTCCTTGTGCATACTCAGAAAGCACTCTACCTCTGAGCTATATCTCTATCCCTCATTTTACATTTTATTTGAAAGTCCAGTTAAGTTGCCCAGTCAAGCCTGAAATTCATTTTGTAGCCTCCCTTGAACTGCAGTCCTTCTGCCTTCACCTCCCAAGTAACTTCGGAACATTTGAAGTTTTTGTTGATATTTTTGTTTTAAGACAAAATCATTTTGGGGCTAGAGAGATGGCTCAGCAGTTTAGAGTACTGGTTGCTCTTGCAGAGGACCCAGGTTCCATTCCCACTACATGGCCAACAACCATCTATCACTGTAGTTCCAGGGGATTTGATGCCCTTTTCTGGCCATGTGGGCATTGTACACACCAGTGCACATGCAGGCAAAACACTCATACAATAAAATAAAAACAAATGAATCGAAAAAAAAAATTAAAAAAGAAAAGATCATCTAGACATAGGGGAGAAACTAATACTAGTTTTCTACTAAACAATTATACTATTAAACTGACTCCTAATGACTTATTGTTATACCCATAGGTTAATGACTCTCTCAACTGTCACCAGAGAAGTTCCTTATGTAGCAAATGGTGATTAACACAGAAACCTACAACTGGCCATTATGCAGAGAACAAGAAGCTGCAGAGTGCTTATCCCTGAATAGAACACCCATATCAAATTTCTGCCTCTCAAGGCTCAAGGATCATTGCAGAAGAGGGGGTGGAAAGATTGTAAGAGTCAGAGGCAGTGGATGACCATAGGGAAACAGAGTTTTCTAGATAGCTGATCAGTTATACATATGAACTCAACAGCAATGGTGACAGCATGCACATGTCTCATTCAAGATCAAACCACAAAATCCCAGCAAAGATATGAGGAAGTGGGTAAAAAACCCAAACCCAACCAAATTGTGGCAACTGATGGCTACTAGGAGGGGCAGAGACCAATTCTTTCAAGTATACTCTTGATAAGTTAAACAAACTCCCATGGATGGACCCACACTGAAGAAATTTGAGAACACAAATTAGACTCTATAGGTCTTTATATATATAATGTATAAATGTATATATCTATATATATACGATTTAATATATATGATTTAATACATTACATTGGGCTGGGGACAATAAGGTGTGGATAGGTGAGGGAATCTAAATACTATCAAATTATGTTTTATGAAAATCACAAAAAAATGAAAGAGAAAAATAAGTAAGCTATACTACAAAAAGGAGGAGGAAAATGGAGCTCATCACTAAGCATTAAAATCACTGCCTATCAAAGATGAAATGTGACAACTATGGAAAGTTTGGAGCTATGTTATTACATCATTACAAAACTAATGGCCTACGAAGAGATCTTTTACATCTTAAATATTGCCAGGAAGGATACTTGATCATAATTGATAGTGCTTTCTTGAAACCATTATCCTCTAGATGAACACACTAAGGTTTTGTGAAGGTCCTACCTTATCTTTTGAGTGGAGAAGATAAAGAACATCAGAATACTCAAATCCTTCACTTTCTTGTAATTCTTTCTGTAGCAAATCATTCCCTAGGATGATGCATGCCAAAGAAAATGCCACTTCAACCTAAGTATGTGGTTTTCAGAAATTATCACACATTATCCAAGAGCATATTTCATTATGAAAACATTTATGCAGGATATATTGTGATTGTGGAAAGATAGTTACAAAATATTCTAAAGTACAATCTATTGGTTCTAATTCTCTGGCTGATATTTAAAGAACAATAAAAATTCTGTAGAAATATCCTTTATGATTTTTAACAGTTAGAAAGTATCCATTCTCCCTTTGAGCCAAGACAACTATAGCCCTCCATTTGAGGGCACCAGGGTAAGTCCCTAGGGACAGCAGGGCATGTAAAGATATAGTACCCTAATCCTTAGTGCAGAGTTCCATCTCTTCTGCATCTAAAAATAAATTTTAAATGCTTGTTTGCATAGGTTTAAAGGCTATTTTAAGCTCCTATTGACCACTGAGCTGTAGAACTGTAATGAAATTTTTAATATTTTAAGTCAAGTTTTATCAAAGAATCAAGGAATAGATATTTTTTCCTCCTCTTCTTTTTTTATTTTTTAAAAAATATTTTATTATTTTTATTTTATGTGTATGAGTGTATTGCCTGCATGTAAGTGAGTGCACCGTGTCATGCAATGCCACGGAGATCAGAAGAGGGTTTCGGATTCCCCTGGAACTGGAATTAAGGACAGTTGATAGCCACCATGTGGGTAATGGAAATTGAACCCAGGTCCTCTGCAAGAGTAGTCAGTGCTCTTAACCACTGAGCCATCTCTCCAGCCCCTCCTCTTCTACTTTTCATTTAATTTGCATTCATCTTCCATTAGGAAGATGAACCTAGTACATCACTGGGACTCAATAGACAACTTTTTACAGTGCTACATTTCATTATTGGCAAAGGTTTTATCCACTATAGTCTTATTTTGAGGAAAATGACAGAAAGTATTTGTATTAGGGTTCTCCAAAGAAACAGAACCAATAGAATGAATATATATGTATGTTTATCAGCTTAGCTAACAAGATAGAGTCCAAGTAGTCCAACCACGGCTGCACCACAGTGGAGAGGCTAAGAATCCGCAGTTGCTCAGTCCATGAGGCTGGATGTCTCAGTAGTCCCAATCTGGCACTGAAGGTCTGACGAATTCCAAAAGATCAGCTAGTCTTCAGTCTACAGCAGCAAGATGAACTCACCAGCGAGAGAGAAGGCAAGCAGCAAGAAGCCAGGCATTCTCCTCTGCCATGGCTGTTTATACTAGCTACCATCAGAAGGTAACACCCACATTTAGGGTGTATCTTCCAGCGTCAGATGATCCAATCAAGAAGATCTCTCATTTCAGTTAATCCCAGATTCAGTCAAATTGACACCCAGGATTAGCCATCACAAGTCCACCCCTTGTCAACTTGACACCCAATAGCATCTCTCTAAGTCATGCTTAATTTCCAAATGAAAACAATGTTGAGGTCATAATTTCACCTAACATGATATAACTATCCCATCATACAATGACTAATGCATTATATATCTTAGAGTAAGTGATGATGTCTTCAAGGAATGCTTAGTCCTTTAGTATCTCATAACCCAATATAATCATATAGGTTCACAACACTTAACCACTTAACACCTCAATTACACATTCAAAAAAAGAATAACTGAAGTATCTGCTTAACATATGTGTATACATGCACAAGCCTATTCTTAACCAAATAGGACAAGAATACTCATGTCAATTACAATTCAAGTTTCTGCAACTGGTCACGTGGCCTAAGTTGGTATTTGTAACTACCTTCCCCTACTACCCAGTCTGTATTTCCTCCACTATCAGCAAACACCTCTGCAGGTATTGGCTCTTTCCCTGGAGGAGTGACCCATACTTTCATCCCCAAAGGGTCTGGGCCATTTGTTGTCCTGTTACGATTGGGTTGTTGCAGTTTCCCATTGACCTTAATCATAGGACATGGTAACACCAAAAGTCGTCCTAAGGAATCTCCTGCCTTCCAGATATAATCTTCATTACATCCATTGTGGAGAACAAGTCCAATTTCCCCCTGGTAGTCTGGGTCAATCACCCCTCCTAATACTGTTATTCCTTTCTTAGCCTGCTGACTTAAGGGCATCAGAAGCCCAAAGTGTCCAGGGGGAAGTCTTAGCTTCCAGTTCAATGGAATGTTTATTGTCTCTCCTGGCAGAAGCACTCCCTCCTCTGGAACCAAAAC